AGTAAGTCAGAAAGAGAAAGACAAATACCGTATGCTAACACATATATATAGAATTTAAGAAAACAAAATGTCATGAAGAACCTAGGGGTAAGACAGGAATAAAGACACAGACCTACTAGAGAATGGACTTGAGGATATGGGGAGGGGGAGGAGGAATCTGCAACAAAGCACAAGAGAGGCATGGACATATATACACTACCAAACGTAAGGTAGATAGCTAGTGGGAAGCAGCCATATAGCACAGGGAGATCAGCTCGGTGTTTTGTGACCGCCTGGAGGGGTGCGATAAGGAGGGTGGGAGGGAGGGAGACACAAGAGGGAAGAGATATGGGAACATATGTATATGTATAACTGATTCACTTTGTTATAAAGCAGAAACTAACACACCACTGTAAAGCAATTATACTCCAATAAAGATGTAAAAACTAAAATAAAATAAAATTACTCAGAATTCCCTGTTGGTCCAGTGGTTAGAACTCCACGTTTTCATTGCCGAGAGCATGAGTTCAATCCCTGGTTGTGGAACTAATATCCCACAAGTCATGCAGCACGGCAAAAAAAAAAAAAAAAAAGATGAATATAGATGCAAAAATCCTCCACAAAATATTAGCAAACTGAATCCAGCAACATATGAAAAGGATCATACACCACAATCAATATGAATTCATTCCAGGGTTGCAAGGATGGTTCAGCATATGCAAATCAATGTGATACACCACATAAACAAAAGACAAAAACTCATAATCATCTCAATAGATTCAGAAAAATCATTTGACAAAATTCAGCATCCATTCATGAAAAAAACTTACCAAAGTGGATATAGAGGGAACATACCTCAACATAATAAAAAACTAGTTATGTCAAACCCATAGGCAATGTAATAACAAATGGGGAAAAGCTGAAAGCCTTCCCACTAAATTCAGGAACAAGACAAAGATGTCCACTCTCACCACTTCTATTCAACATAGTATTGGAAGTCCTAGCAATAGCAATCAGACAAGAAAAAGAAATAAAATATATCCAAATTGGAAGGGAAGCGATAAAACTGTCAGTATTTGTAGATGCCTTTATAGAGATCTCAAAAGACTCTACAAACTATAAGAACTAATAAATGAATTCAGCAAGGCAACAGGATACAGGATTAATATACAGAAATTTGTTACATTTCTTTATACTAACAATGAAATATCAGAAAGAGAAAGTAAAAAAAAAAAAAATCTCATTTAAAATCCTGCCAAAAAAGAAAAAAAACCTAGGAATAAACTTAACCAATGTGGTGAAAGACCTACACACTGAAAACGGTGAACACTGATTAAGGAAACTGAATATGATTCAAAGAAAAGGAAAGCTATCCCATGATCTTGGATTAGAAGAATTAATATCATCAAAATCATCATGCTACCCAAAGCAATTCTACAGATTTAATGCAATCCCTGTCAAAATACCCATGACATTTTTAACAGAACTAGAACAAATAATCCTAAAATTTATATGGAACCAGAAAAGGCCCAGAATTGCCAAAACAATCCTGAAGATAAAGAATAGAAGTGGAGGCATAACCCTCCCAGACTTCAGACAATACTACAAAGCTACAGTAATCAAAACAGCATGGTATTAGCACAAAAACAAATATATAGATCAATGGAACAGAGTAGAGAACCCAGAAATAAACCCACACACCTACAGTCAATCTTCAACAAAGAAGGCAAGAATATACAATGGAGAAAAGACAGTCTCTTCAACAAGTGGTTTGGGAAAGCTGGACAGCCTCATGTAAATCCGTGAAGTTAGAATGCTCCCTCACACTGTATACAAAAACAAACTCAAAGGGATTAAAGATCTAAATATAAGCCATGACATCATAAAACTCCTAGAAGAAACCATAGACAAAACATTCTCAGACATCTATCGTAGCAATATTTCCTTAGACCAGTCTCCCAAGGCAAAAGAAATAAAAGCAAAAATAAACCAATGAGACCTAGTTAAAAGCTTTTGCACAGCAAAGGAAACCATCAACAAAATGAAAGACAACCTACAGAATGGGATAAAATATTTGCAAACAACATGACTGACAAAGAGTTAATATCCAAAATATAAAAACAGCTCATACAACTCGATATTGAAGGACCCAAAAAATGGACAGAAGAAAACTTAAATGGACATTTATCTAAAGAAGAAATACAGATGGCCAATAAGCACATGAAAAGATGCTCAGCATTGCTAATTATTAGAGAAATGCAAATCAAAACTACAATGAGGTACCACCTCACACCAATAAGAATGACTATCATCAAAAAGTCTACAAATAATAAATACTGGAGTGGGTGTGGAGAAAGGGAACCCTCCTAAACTGTTAGAGGAAATGTAAAATGATGCAGTCACTATGGAAAACAGTCTGGGGGTTCCTAAAAAAATAAAAATAGAGCTACCATATGATCCAGCAATCCCATTCCTGGGCATACATCTGGAGAAAAACATACTTTGAAAAGACACATGTATTCCAATGTTCATTGCAACACTATTTACAATAACCAAGACATGGAAACAACCCAAGTGCCCATCAACAGACGATTAGGTTAAGAAGATGTAGTATATATATATATATATATATATATACCCTGGAATATTATTCAGCAATAAAAATAATGAAACATTGTCATTTGCAGGAATATGGATGGACCTAGAGAATATTATACTTAGTGAAATAGGTCAGACAAAGACATATTATATCACTTATATGTGGAATCTAACAAATTATACAAATGAATCTATTTACAAAACAGAAACTGACTCACAGACATAGAAAAGAAACTTATGGTTACATAAAAGAAAAGGGAAAGGGGAGAGAGAAATAAGGAGTGTAAGATTAACAGATACAAACTACTATACATAAAATAGATAAGCAAGAAGGATTTACACTATAGCACAGGTAACTATATTAAATATAGTGTAATAACCTATAATGGAAAATAATCTGAAAAAAATTACATCTATATGTAACTGAATCACTTTGTTGTAAACCTGAAACTAACACAATATTGTAAATCAACTATATTTTTTTTTCAAAAAAAAGCACTGCTGGGAGGAAAGAATGATATAACATACATAAAGAGCTTGTCTAACATCCTGCAGCTATTACTATTAATATATATCTCTTGCCTTCTACTACAGAGGAACTGTGAGAAGAGTTACAGCATTGGAAATGGGCTCAGTGGGAAAATATAGGTGACATTTTGAGATCCAAGGGGCAACATAACATACATGTAGTCAGTCTCTGAGTTCCAACTCCACATGATGAAAGAAAGAAAGTGACAAGGGGAAACAAGTGCTAATCATGCACCTATTATGACTCAAGCACTCACTTGGACTCTAGGGAGTCAAGGATAGTGAATAATATCAATACATGGTCTTTGCATCCCTAATCCCAAATAACAAAGTATCTTGTAGCATACTAAATACCCAAGGTCTGGAAAATTTTATATAACATTATTTAAAGACAGAATATTAGCTGGAGTAAATAATTACAAGCTAGTCAGCTTAGTACCATTTGTGGGGAAATACTAGAAACAGCTTTGTCAAGGGAACAACTTGACAATTATAAGGTAATTTGATTAGGAACAGGCAATACATTTCTAATGAGAATGATATTATAACAATTCACTGGTTGACTTTATTTGAAGTCATTTACTACCATGGTGTCTGACTTCAGACCAATATTCTTCCTATAACTATAAAGGATTTGGAGCGCTAATCATATGATAGCTAGTAGCTTAAGATTTTTTTAAAAGGGTGGAAATAGAACAAAGAATTTAAAAATAGAATTAAAAAAGAAGCTCATCGCCTAATGCTTGAAGTCTAAGTTTAAAAGAATGTTTTTCCCTCTTTGTCATTTTGTAAGAACCACCAGTGTAAAGATATAAAAGAAGTGGCTTTTAAATTTAAGATGCCTTAGAATCAGCTGTGGAAATTGTAGAAACTACATCCTGGGCTCCAATCCCAAGAGACTTAATTGGTATGGGGCCCTAGATCTGCATGTTTCATATAAGCACCCCCAAGTGGTTCTGATGCAGGTGGGCTGCATACCATAGTTTAAAACATATAATTCTGTAACATTGAAAAACTATAAATAAATTTGTTTTCCTTTAATTAAGAAACTTTAATTGAAAAGTTTATAAGTCTCATCATAAACGTTGACATAAAGATCTTAAAACATTCCTTGGGAAAAAGTTTTCAGTTATGTTCTTTTGCCTTCCAGAATTAAAATAAAGCTATAACTCCACAATTATATCCTAAAGGCAGTAATAAATTAAAACAACAACCTGAACAAAACTCAACCACGATCATCACAACCACCACCACCAACAACAACAATAACAAAAAATCCATCAACAGACTCAGGCCTGAGGTAGAGACATGCCCCACTTTCACAGTAGATGGAGTGACCTTGACTTCTGATTTTAGACTCGGTTGTTTAAGTATTTTCTCTGCTTTTAGCTGTCAGTACAGAGGAACTCACTGGCAGAATCAGCAGAATGGATGAACAGTCAGCCAATCTATGAAGTGTTACTTAAAGACAAAGTAGTCAAATTTGAGGACCTCTTGCCCTGCGGTTATTCAAGCATCCCAGCAATTCTTCCTAAATCTCTGTGCTGCCAGGGCTGGAAGGCATTGATGGTATAATCAGTAATCAATAGAAAACTCAAATATTGCTTCTAAGAACTTCATCTTATGGACACAATATTTATGAAAGCAACAACATATAAATCATATAAATCTCACATCTGGTCAGGATCCAGTCACAAATTATTTTGGGGGGAAAGTCTTAAAAGCCATTCTTGCATTTCACTCCTTGAAAAGTAATACTTCACCCTAATAAAAAACAATGTTGCTAAAAATATATCTTTTAAATGGAGGATTCTCCAATATTTAACTTTTCATAAATTATATTCTTTCCTTCTATGTGTCAGAGAAAGAGCGCATTCTTAAAAAAATAAATCAACCTGCATGACCACCAATGTCTTCAAATTTGCCGTAATTCAAATAAGAACCATACTGGGTCCTGTGCAGGAAACAGGGTGAGAGTCCTCTAGAAAAAAATGGAAAGGAAAGAAAATGGCAGTTACCTAATATAATGCTTCAAACATGTACAAATATCTCTTGATCTGTCAGCCTAAGAGAGACAAACCATCTGAAGAATTTATACAGGGTTTATTACTGCTAAAGTGAATGAACGAGACAGTTGAATTGGTTTTCTATTGCTGCTGTAACATGTGACCATAAGTTTAGTGGCTTAAAAGAATATACATTTATTATATTTCAGTGCTATAGTTTAAGAATCCAACAAAGATCTCACTGGACTAAAATCAAGTGATCAACAAGGCTGCCTTACCTTCTGGAGGCTCTAGGGAATAATCTGTTTCCTTGCCTTTTCTAAAAAATTTTTAGAGGCAACCCACATTCCTTGGCTTGTGACCCCTTCCTCCATCTTCAAAACTAGCAACAGCAGTTTTTAGAGTTCTTCTCATGACACATCATTCTGACTTTCTCTTCTACCTCCATCCTTTAAGGCCCCATGTAATTACATGGGGCCCACCTGAACAGTCCAGGATAATTTCCTCATCTCAAGGTCTTTATCCTAATCACATCTGCAAAGTTTCCTTTGCTATGTGATGTAATATACTCACAAGTTCCGCAAATTGCATCAGGGACATCCTGGGGGGTCATTATTCTGCTGGTCACAATACTGTTAACTTAGGTGTCAACTATTATTGGAATGAAAAACAAAACAACAACAACAAAAGGCACCTTTCCTAATGTCAACAAAGTTTAGTAAAATTAAGACACTACAAAAAGGCACAATCTAGAACAGCAAATCAAGACAAAGCCAAATTAGAACCCTAGAAGTGTTCCCGTGATGTCCACAAAATTGCACAGGTACTAGTCTTTTTAGATTAGGTTGTTTTCTTTCTTGTTTTTCAGTTGTGGCTTTCCCCCCACCCCCCCTCCAAAGCCTGACTATGTTGGCGGAAATCTCATCCAAGACAAAGAGCATGTGGTGGTGGATGTGAAGTTCGCGGTGGAGTCGGTGAAGCTGGGACCCCACTAACTTCTATGAACTTTCATTTGGTCTGAATCTAACAGATTGGAGGGTTTTCTCAGACCTACCCTAGCAGGAACAAAGGGATCCTTGTGTGTCTTCCCCAGGAGACCACGAGGGGGTAACTGTGGTCCTTCCCTTGGAACTTGCCTTGTAAAGAAGCAGGCACCAAGATAATGTGTCTGGGATCCTGTGGACCAGATGTTACCCATCCATGTCCAGAAATTCCTGACTTATTTAAGTGCATTAAAGGGCCTCCTGTTTCTGTAAGACCAAAGGAAGTGAGTTTCTCTCTCTCTCATTTGGTAGGTAGGGCCATCATTTGGTTCACTTGAGGAACCTGTCGCCTTCGCAAGTCATTAGATGCGCTAAATGCAGTAAATGTTCTCTCACTACATGACACTAAACCCCACCCATGCATTGTATTCCCTAAAACCTCACTTACTAAGTGGAATCTTAATTTTTTAGAGTCATTGCCCAACCACACATTATTCATTTTTTCAAGTCTATCCCTCTGCCTTTTCTCTTGAATTTGCTAAAATCTAAATAGAATCTATGAAATGAAACACAAGGCAGGAGCCCACACTAAGGATTCCTGACAGTCAAAGGTGACAGTTTGCAGCCGGGACACTTTCTGCAGGAGACTCTCTAGATGCTTTTGACCTCACTCTTCAGGAAATAGAAAGCCAGGCGCTGTCATTGCTCCTGCTCATACCTTCCCTTTGACCAAGATGAGGCTATTGGTGTCTACTACTAATGTTCTCACCTACAGATACCCAGGCTGAGCTGGGAACCATCACTTTAAACTCTTTTCAGTAAAGATTTATACACCCGCCTTCTGTATCCCCCAGTGGAATTAGCAATGACTTACCCACAAGGGCTCAGTAAATGTTTTCATGGAGCTCAACTAATTTAGAATCCAAGTTATCTAGATGAGCAGAAGTGTTATATTTTATAGAACTTGATAGGACAAGTAGAGGAGGGAATTAGGAAGTGTTAGGTTATTTTTTTTTTCAAGAGAACAGAAGTCACTGGGTTTTTCAAACACTTGAATATCAAAAACCAGGATTTTAGTCCCAGACCATCCTATAGTCTCACCGCAAACTTAGAATTTGCTTTACTCCTTTTTTACTTTAGTTATTTGATCTAAAAATTGGGGTTAAAACACCAAGTTCTTCAATTCTAGGAATATAGTCGATATTCAAATTATTTTTGATATAGAGAGAATCTTGAAGTCTGGAAAGTATCTAAATTCTCAGAGAGAAAACCATTAACCACAAATCATTATGAAAAGAGTGGTACTATAAGACGTATCAAACTTGCCTCGTTACCTCTCCAGCTGGCCAGGACATAGTCAGTAACTACTGTTATTAGTAGTTTTCTCTGGAGACCTTGGCAGTGTTGATTGCTTTGAGGCAACATGGAGCCCAGGTGTTAGTTGGATCCTGAGAGGCTCAAAGCTAACTGAGAACCAGGGTTCTTGGACCAGAAGAGACCATGCAGCTGTTGGAAAAAAAAAAACAGAAGGAAGACTAGGACCATCAAAGAGGTCAGGCCTAGCCAGCACCGACCACTTTGTCTGATGAACCCACCACCACTACACTTCTCATGATTTTGTTGTTACTAGATGGAGAACTCCATGAAATTTGGGATAATATTTTATTCATCTCTGTGTGCATGACTCCTGGCGCTGAGTCAAGCACTGAGAAGGCTCTTGGCAACATTTGTTCACTGACTGAGTAAACATGGTTGCAAATCTCCACTCATCTCAACTACATTCCTGCCCAACTGTCCTGTCAAGGATGCTCTGCTTTCTCCCAGGATGTAGCAAACCTCTTCCTTAGAGAGGAGCCTTCCCTACACTATCCTTGTCCTAGGACACTCACCTGTGGTGATTCTGATGAAGACACGACTGTCCTCAGGGATTCCTCTCAATGGTTCACTCTGTCATTGGGAAGAGATGTCCTTGGCCTCCCCTCCCATCCTCTAGGCTGCCTCAACACCCCAACTGAGGAGGGCCATCACACTTTGATGACACTATGCACTTGTATTCTTCCTCTCACTGCTTTAATTTCCTCATGGAAATATTACTGATATCTGAACTCCAAGCTGTTAACACAGCATAAGGCAAATTAAGCAGTCAACATACAGTTAAGCGATGTTGTGTATAAAGCCTTCCAAACTGTAAATGCAGAAGAATATTATTACTATCTCTGCTTTAGAAACAAGGGTCCCCTTAGCCTGGTCCCTGGTAAGAATGAATAATTCTTCTCCAAACATTATTTATCTGTTTTAATGCACACTTACTTGGAGGGCATCCACTATGTGGGCAGTTCCAAGTTTGAGGTTTGGGGGTCTAGGGCAAAGCATCAAGGTCCCATCCTCCTCCTCCTGGAATTGGTGTTCCCAGAAGTATAAACCAGCCCTGATCCGTCCTGTGGATCTCCTTGGCATGTGCACAAGTTCACTGTGCAGTAAGTTACTCTCTCAGTCCTCCCTGCTCAGCTCAGGCTGCTCATTGAGGACCTGGATGATGCTGTGTGCATTCCTCACGTTCTCTTGACTTTTCTGAACCCAGCTGGTTCTTATTCTCACCTTCCTTGGCAACCACCTCCTCCACCATTACCTTGCTTTTCTTTGGGTTTTTTTCGTCCTCCAAACCTGCTGATTTTCTTTCTTCCGTCTCCTGCCTCAGTTCTGTGTTTTCAGTGTGTGGGCTCAGTTCAGGTCCCTGTAGGAGATACACAAACAAGGAACTGCCTGCAGTTCCCAGAGCACATTTAACACACATCTCAGTCCCTCATCCACTCAGAAAAAAACTGAACAGGAAGGGACTTTGGAAAATTTAAATAACAACCTTATCTTACTGATGAGGAAAATAACACCCCGAGAGACACGGAGATTTTCCCAAGTTCCCACACCACTTGGTGGCAGCAGAGCCACCACACAAGTAAGTCTTGGCCACAATCTTTTCTATCCGTAAGCACCAGGAACCAACAATGGCTGAGTTTCAGGGGACATTGGATCAAAATACGTATTTCCACCATTAAAACAAAAATATCTAAGGATCATTCCTAAAAGTAATTTTTTTTCACTCTTCATTAGTCCTATATTTATACTCAGTTTTCAATCCTGCTGATCCAATGGAACCAAGGAACACATGAGTATTAAATACATCACAGTATATATATTTTATATATATATGTATATATATGTGATTCTCTGTAACACATCTGGCTCCTGTGCTAGAGGTCAACTTCCTGAGAGCAGGCACTCTGTGTGCCTTGTTCATCCCTCCTCCCCACTGCCTCCTCAAGAGCCTGCCAGATAGAATATTCAGTAAGTATTTGTCAAGCACATAAATACCAGGCACCAAGAGTAACTAACTTTTACCAATGTCTTCTAGTCCCAACCATATTTCCATTCATATTTTATCCTAGGTCAGTGCTAAAGCAATAAAAGCACAGTCCTAGGAAAAGCAGTCCAAGATGCAAATACCACCTCCACCAAGTACCAAGTATGCTTCATATGATGATTTCATTACTCTCTTTGAACATAGTGATCTCATGTATAATAGAGAAGAATATATAATGTAAAACAGAGAAGGCAGTATTACCCTTAGATGAGTAACTGTGATATCATACAGCAGACAGGGTTCCAATCCCTGGGCACTGGCTGCACAGTATAGAATGCCTACATTACAGTCGCTACAGGGCCTGTTAAAAACTTCTGGGGATAAGGCCCAAAAAATTGCATCTCAGACTAAAATTCCAGGGAGATTCTCATGCAAGGAAAAAGCCCGACCATTAAACAAAGTCTAGAATGTAGATCCCCAAAGCCTAGTGGAAACAAGAATGACTCAGCTGGATCAAAACAAGTCCCTTGTCATGATGGCCTCTCAAGAGGAAATGTACCCTTTCCCAAGAAGGGTCCCCACCTGAGATGAATAACAAAGAGGACCCTGCTTTCCCAGTCTGGGCTTTTAGTACCTCCACTGTCTTTTAGGTTTTCTCCTCTGCTCTAATCGCTGGAGTATCTCAGCCCTCATATGGATCATTTCTTTATGAAGATCTCTGTTTCTCTACTTCTTGAAGAAACAGATGACAGAGATCAGTTCTGGGGCTCCACAGTTCTAGGCTTTCTCCTGAGCCACTTTCTTTCAGGTGAGCTGAAATAAATCGTGGGGGATAGAATTCAGGTCAATAAAGAGGATCCCAGAGGAGCATGAGACCATGAGGGCAACCCCTCATGGGAGATGGTCAGAACGATGACGTGGTCAATATCAACCCTGTTCCGGGGGGAGGATATACTGGCCATTTCTGTGAGCAGAGAACACAGCCACGTCATTCCAGACTTTTGATATATAGAAGATTGATAACAAATGTGTGTTGCTTTAAACCATTCTTTGTAATCTGTTAATATGCAGTGATAAGGAACAAATTTAGATGCTTATCTGTACTCTCCTGATTTTTTAATTTTTACAAATATGTATGCAAATCCCTGTAAAGAAAAACAAGGCAATCCAAAACCAAACAAACAAAACAAAACAAAAAAATCAAAGAATCACAGTAAAAAGCTTGTGCTCACCTTCATGTGACTATTTTCAAGCCCTAGTAGCATGTAGGACACTATGAAGAAAACTTCAGGTGCTGAAATAATGTCCCTTTATTGTTAACAACCAAACCTCTCAAAGACTACAGAGGTACAACACTTAACTTTGTGTAACATTATCTGTGAATCCATCATCTATCTCTATTTCCTATGGCAGGTTGTTTTTTCCCTTAGCTCTCTGTTCTCCTGAGTTCACCAGACAAGATTTTACAGCAAGTACCAGTTAGCAGCATAGAGATCCAACTCAAAGAGAATAGATCAGCCACTGTTATTAACTTCCCACAAAGTTCTTTGAATGCAACCTCACCTCTTATTTTGGCCATAAAAAAGAAAAGATCTAGTTTTTAAAAGTCCTATCCTAATGAGAATTTAAACATAAATATCTCTGTTTTCCATTTTTATTCTGCTCATGCCCAATCATGGAGACCTCACTCCTCAGAGTGAGTGAGTTCCCAATTTGCTGTGGCCTGGGCTTTCTGTCAAAGGAAGTCAAGTCAACCCAACTGCAAATCTCTCTGGTAAATCCATCCCTCACCCTCAAAATCCAGAATAAAATGTGAATGCAGCAGGCAGCAGCATCCACCCAGCAACAGTGATAGGTTTGTACTTCACTTGGCTCACATTATCTGAGAGACTGGTGCAGCGTAAAATAGAAGAGAACAGAGAAAGATTATATTCATTTCAGCTTTTCCAGGATGTCACTTAAGGTAAACCAAAGAATGTAAACACATTTGAGGAAATCTCTCAATAAGAAGTTAATTGTTGGCCAAAATAAATTGTAGGTAAAAGCCATCGTGTTAGCAAGAGGGGAGAAAAAAGATATTCTCATACATGGTTGGGAATATGACTAGGTAAACTTCTTTGTAAGGCAATAGGGCAGGAGTTAGAAAAATTAGATATGTACTCACTAATATATTTCTAAATCAAACAATTTTCTTTAAAGGAACGTATACTACAGAAATACACAGAAATGATGGACATAGATGGACCATCGTATCTGTGGGTTCTGCATCCACAGATTCAACAAACCACCCACCTGAAATACTTTTTAAAGGATGGACTAAACAGCAGCCTAGGTGATACTGAAGAAGGCATAAGTGATCTGGAAGATAGAATAACGGAAGTCACCCAATCAAAACAGCATAAAGAAAAACAAATTTAAAAAATGAAAACAGCTTAAGAGATTTCTGGGATAATATGAAGTAAATGAATATTTACATTATTAGGTTCCCAGAAGGAGAATGAAAATGTATTTGAGGAAATTATGGCTGAAAACTTCCCAAAGATGAAGGTGGAAACAGATATCCAGGAACAGAAAGCACAGAGGGTTTCCAAACTAAATGAATCCAAACAGACCCACACCAAAACATATCATAATTAAAATGGCAAAAGTTAAAGATAAAGAGTGAATTCTAAAGGCAACAAGAGAAAAACAAAGACTCATATATAAGGGAATCACCATAAGACTATCAGCTGATTTTTCTCAGAAACTCTGAGGTCCAGAAATAACTGGCATGATATATTCCCTTTCCTTTTTGCTGAAAGGGAAAAACCTGCAACCTAGAATACTCTACCCAGAAATATCATCATTTAGAATAGAAGAGATAAAAATTTATCAGAGGGACTTCCCTGGTGGCTCAGTGGTTGAGAATCCACCTACCAATGCAGGGGACACGGGTTCAATCCTTGGTCCAGGAAGATCCCACATGCTGCGGAGCAACTAAGCCCGTGCTCCACAACTACTGAGCCTGCACTCTAGAGCCCGTGAGCCACAACTACTGAGCCCGTGCACCACAACTACTGAAGCCCACATGCCTAGAGCCCATGCTCCGCAACAAGAGAAGCCACCACAGTGATAAGCCCGTGCACCGCAACGAAGAGTAGCCTCTGCTTGCTGCAACTAGAGAAAGCCTTTGTGCAGCAATGAAGACCCAACACAGCCAAAAATAAATAAATTTATTTAAAAAAAAACTTATCAGAGAAGCAAAGACTTAAAAAGTTCATCAACACTAAAACTACACTAAAAGAAATGTTAAAGAGATTTCTCTAAGTGGAAAAGGAATAAGACTCTATATTAAAGGGAAAATCCCACTAGGTGAGGGAAATATATAGTAAGGACTGAGGATCAACCACTTAAGTATGAATATTAAAAGAGAAAAGGTCTACTTTCATACCACCCTGAACATGTCCTATTTTGTCTGATTTGGAAGCTAAGCAGCATCGGCCTGGTTAGTACTTAGATGGGAGACAACATGGGAATACTGGGTGCTGTAGGCTTAAAAGAAAAAAAGAAAAGGGAAGAATCATAAAAGCAACTAAAATTACAATAAACAGGGGATAAACATGAATATGTAAAATACAACATCAAAAAATGAAATGCGGGGGAGAGGAGAAGAAAACATAGATCTTTTAGAGTGTGTTTAAACTTAAATGACTAGTAGTTTAAAACAAACAGATATAGGTCAACATTTATGAACCCCATGGTAACCACAAATCAAAAGCCTACAAAAGATATATGAAAACTAAAAAGAAAGGAACAAAAGCACACTGCTAAAGAAAATCTTCAAAACAAGGCAAAGAAACAAAGAGAAGAGAAAATGAACAGAGAAGGACTACAAAAACAAATGGAAAACAATAAAATGGCAATAAGTACATACCTGTCAATAATTACCTTAAATGTCAACAGACTTAATGACCCATTCAAAAGACATAGGTGGCTGATTGGAAAAAAAACCCTTCTATATGTTAAGAGGCACTCATTTCAGAGCTAAAGACACATAGAGACTGATAGTGCATGGATAGAAAAAGATATTTCATGCAAACAGATACAAGAAGAAAGTGGGGGTAGCAATACTCATATCAGACAAAATAGACTTTGAACCAAGACTATAATAAAAGAAAAAGAAGGGTATTATATAATGATAAAAGGGTTAGTACAAGAAGAGGATATTATGCTCCTTAACATATGCACACCCAATACAGAAGCCACTAAATATAAAAGCAAATATTGATACTAACCAACATAAAAGAAGATATTTACAATAATACTAAGGGAATACTAAGGGAATACTAAGGGAATTTGACCTCCCACTTACATCAATGGACACACCATCCAGACAA